TTTACTACCTTGGAAATTTCAAGAAATTTATCTCGTTAGCATTTACAGGAATATTGAAATAACTTACTGGCTATTATCCATTTTACGCATAAAGAAGATCACGAAGCTTCATGCAGGAAGCTCATTCAATTGTCAGGAAGAGTTATCAGAGTGAAATCTCAGTATTTAATAATCATATCCATACGCTCTTGGATCACTCAGAACAGCAACGAAACCTCTCTTTAATGAGATATAAGATAATTTAAAGAAATAAAAATCTCTTTTTTTGCAGACATTAAGCAGCAGATAAAAACTCAGAAATGTTAGCTATTGTCAGTATAGTTATAATAATAAACTCGTTAAATTTTCTAAAAGTGATGGAACCTTTTTGGTAAGATGATGAGAGTACTGTAAAACGATTTAACATTTACGGAAATGAGGTAGAATGAGGGTGAGGTAGAATGAGAGAGAAGATGAAAACCTGAGAAAATTTTAGAAGACTTGTGGAGATCCTTAGTGCTTTATGAGGTTCTGAATTGATAAGGTTCATTGATAAAGCTCGGAATGAAGCTAAAAGCTTAGAGCTAATTTAAGTCAGAAAAGACTGTCACCGATATCGTACGGGTAAACAAGCTCTGCCGAAGAAATAACGGAGGCAAATCTTATAGAAATCATTTTTGTGTTCACGATTTTCAGCATGAAAATGAAAGATCATCGACAGAAGACTAGGCTGATGAAGGCTAAAGCATGTTGTATTAGATCAAGATATTCTAGATGCATTGAATCAAGAGAAACAAATGGAAGTAGTAAAAAGAAAACAGGAATACGACATAAAAGACCAAGAACGAATCATTGGAATGTACAGATAATCTCATAAATTTCGTCGCAAATTAAATAGTCAAGAGCATGAGTTCTAATTTAATGACGGGAAACTTTGCATATATCTTCACATTGTTTGAAATCATGCCAGTACTTGCAAAATGCAGAAAGTAGCCGAATTTAAAAAAATTTTTAGCTGAAAATTCATGTCAGTTTTATTATTATTTTAACTAAATCTTATTGAAAAATATAAATATAAATAATATATGGCAGATAATATACTTTTTGTAAATAATATACTGTATAGCATTTGTATGAAACCTCTGAAAATTATTACTTACGAGATATAGGATCACTTTTGGACTACACTTTTCTGGTTATGAGTGGAAACTAGTGCGTTAATTAATAAGCACGGATAAGAGAAAGTTTAAGGTCATTCTTTAATTCAATTGCTATAGATTCAAAAATCGAAGAAGATATGAACAAATGTTGGTTTGTTTTGGTTTGATTTATGTGATTATAGCAAAGCCCCGAGGGCTATATGTATCGTGGAGGACTGTTTAAGGGAAAATTGGCTTGTATACATGTTACACATGAGGTTTTCCTTTAATAACGTCCATGGGGTTTTCGTGGGAACATTACGAAAACGCCCATGCGGCCAGCCCATTTGTGGGATTCAAATCTCGGGCAGAAGTACCAGAGTTATGCCGCTGCTGGGGTCAACAAATGTTAAAAATCGATAAAAATGTATTGACTGCAACCATATCAAAGTAAAAATTGCTTCAGAGTTCGTATCCGTAACGTTCTGTCCGAGATCTGTAAAACAAAACATAAGTGCCCTTGTTTGGCCATGTACAATAAGTTGTTGCCTTTCATGTCTCAATAAGTTGTTGCCTCTAGGGGGACATGGGCCACATACCTGTTTACCTATGTTAGACACCAGGCGTCCCCGTCCTCCATCACCTGTCCAGTAACTTAAATGAGATCTTAATCTAACCGAATTTCAAAATAAAATGATTTGCGTGAGACAAGAAAGTTAGCAGATAAGATGACAAGACTTTGAATTGTCTTCTAGACAGTGATCTCCTTTAAACTGTTCCGTTGATTTTGAAACAAATTTGACAAATAGACGTCATCTGTATTACTTGCAGACACCCTTTTGATTCTTTTACGCTAACGGCCGATGTATTTCAGTGATAATTTATTCCTTCAATAATTAGATTGATATGAGTAAGTAGTTAGCTCACGGAGACTATAATAATCCTAAAATCCCTAGATGACTAGTTCTTTGAACCACTAGTTTCCTGCTGAAGTTTATAAAAAGATTTTTGCTTATTAATATATATATGTTGTATATATATATATATTTTTGCTTGTATATAAATTAATAATAATAGAAGCTAATTCTCACTCTTTAATTATCCCATTTCGATCTGTTATTATACATTTTCAATTACATATTTTTTTACAAAATTCAGTTCAACCTGATTAAATATCTTCAGTCGCAAAATTTCCTTAAAGATCTCACACATGATGAGTACATATAGCGTGTATGAACTTTAAATTCATGGGCGAGTGAAAATCTATAGAAGAGAAAGCAATCCGATGAGCACATAAAACATGACTCCTTTTGTTAGTACTTATTCCTTGTTAACCTTTCATTGTTAGTTTACACAATGTCAGAAACACTATTCCCTCAACAAAAGAATTTCTTATTTCACCTTTTCAACAACTAGGATTCACATTGGATAATACAAGGTTTTGTAACTTCTCACGTGATTTCTTTTTACAAATGTTTTATCAATCTTCGTTAGTTCAAGGAACATTAAATGCTTTATTGTGCTAAAGATATGTGAAAAATGATATTATTTTTAAGATTCAGGAAAAGTTTGATGTTGAGAAAGAAAGGAAATGTTACTTTAGAAGCAAAAAGCAGGAAAATTAAAGTAAATGTTTATATCGTTATATGATCCAAATATGTATATGAGCATTAAAAAATGAGTTAACATCAGTGTTTAACTTAGACCAAAATTCAGCCCAGCCTAGGTGTGCTTCAGAACACTGAGTCTCTTGTTCAGGTGAGATTCTGCATTTCTTCGTTCATATTTTATTCATTAATCAGATGAAACTTTTGTTATATATAGAATTCTGAGAAGCATAAATCAGGTGATATGGAAAAAGGATGATATGATCGGTAATTTTATGTCATCTCAAAAGGAAAAAAAAAATGTCAAAATTAATTAGAAAACTGAAGTACTGAACAAAGAAAAACAAAATTTATGATTCCAGTACCATATTCAAGATTTCACAGAAATAAATTTTAATTTCGAATAAATAATTATATATTTGTATTTTACATTATATAATAAATTCAATATTAAGTTTTAATTTACAGGTATAAATGAAAGAAAATTGCCTGAAATTTCCTGGAAAAAATTACATTTTAGTAAATATTTATAAATAAATAATAAATAAAAAGTTTTATTTCAAAAAAGTATTCACATGTTTTTCTAATCTTACTATCCTTCTTTGCATGTAATATAAATTTATATCCTTTAATTGCTTCTTAACTTAAAATTTAATTTTAATTTTTTTATATTATTCGGATTTTTTCATATTTATTTAATTATTGTGTTGTATTGATTTTGTGTTGTTGATAATTATTGGTTTAAGAAATCTTTCTGCTACTTTCTAATAGAAAGCGTACACTACTCGTGACAGAAATGAAAGAATGCGCATTATGCATTTATAAAGAGTTAGCTGTATTACGTTTTCGGAAAAAGTTTCGCCATTCAAACACAATAGTTATAAAAGTCTGTATAATCTATGTAATATAATAAATCTAAGCCATTCCTTAAATTATCACAATTAAGGCAATCAGATATATGGAAAGGTAAATAGTATATGAAAATATTTTTGATTAACCGACAGAGCTAGTAATTAGAAATCCGTTTGTATTTGTAGTTAAATTTATAGTTGGTTCACATAATCTTTTTTTGCAAACGGTGCAGTAGACTTAACTTAAAATTTTAGAAGTAGTTGCATAGTTTACTAACGAAACATCATTTTTCCTAAGTATTTCGGATTAAATAAAAATGTTCATTACGATAAAAATATTTCCATAAAATTAATTTTTTGCATTAATTTCTTATAAGTGAAAGAGTATGGAAAATATTTTAAATTGTCATAATATAGCTAAATATTAAAAAAGTTTGATGCAAAATTAAAAATAGTTAAAATTTAATAATTAAAGAAAATGAAGTTCAGATATAAAAGTCTCAAATGTTTAACCTAGAATATTTATTAATAAATGAAATGCTATGACGATCAATAATTAAAACAAGCATAATTAGAACCGATGATAATTATAAGATTATGAAAAGCGTGCAAAACTTTAAAACAATTTATATAAAATTAATTGATTTTTGGGAGATAAAGACTAATGCTGGATATAACACCTTCTACTAATTTGCTTCAAAGCCAGAACTAATGCATATTGACTCACTACAACCCTTTTCATTCTTACTTGGCCGTATATCAATTATAAATTTTGTCACTTATGTATATAATATACTATAGCAATGGGAATAATTGTGAATATTTAGAAATCGCGTTTCAAATTGCAAAGCAGCTTAAATAGGTTCTTTTTATGCAGCTAATAAAACACAAACTATTAACAAAGCAACTCCATATATTCTCTTTTCTCCATATGAATGCATTTTGTAAAATGCATAACAATTACAGGCGTGTCCATAAAGAAATTATATGTTTTTAATAGTTAAAAAAATTATAGCTCTACCCTACGTATTCCTTAATACCCATATTAAAGCATTGATTTATTTGTAAACGTCATGACATGTAGCATCATAAAAATAACAACTGAAAAGCCGAGACCAACTGTAGTAAAAATGCAATAAATTAAATGAGTATCTTCTTGTAAAGTATCGGGAATAAGGACTGGAATTAATCTTTGTGATGAGTAAATTATGTAAGAGTTTAACTGTAAAGAACAGAAAGTTTGCTAAAATCAAATAAATAAGTTTCATTAAATTTAACATCTGGTTTCATCTTTCTTAACCATTAGATTAATGCAGCGCGAACGATAATAAAGGCATTAAAAGCAAACAAACTTTGGACAATGTCTAAAGATTAATATTTGAATTTTAAATTGCTCAAATTTGAGCAGAGCTATTGGTACTTACTTGTTGAGTACTAACTAAATCCAATCCAAGGCACAGAACTAACAAAAAAACAAAAGGACGGACGGATCGCCACAACTCTTTGAGCTCCATCTTCTATTCAAATTAGTTTTAAACCACAATTTGGCGGCAATGCGCTGTCAAGTTAAACACCCAAAATCTTGCTGTTAAGACCACGTAACACCATGTCCCTTACGCTTTCTTTAATTATGATGGTAATATAATATAATCCAACGCGTAGCGGATGTTAGCAATCCAGACAGAGCTCGCCGCGTTAAAATGCCACCAACTAAAGAAAGCACGCCACAGTGTCTTCTATTCTGGTGGATGGTGAAGGCAACTGATAGTCAACTTCTTTCGCTTACCTGCATGCGGCTGGTAAAGTTGAGGGGAAGGTGGATGGGGAGTTATATCAGGAATCTTAATGGCACTACTCACTCGGGAGGACGACTGAGAAACTTGTTCTGCAAGTTTTTGTAAGGTTTTCCGATTCTCTTGTTTCGTGTATTTTATTTGTTCATTTATTTTTTATTCGCTTGAGTTCCGGCGAGCACCTTCAAATCTGTCAAGTCTATTGAAGATCTTGAAAGAATGATTTAAATGAACTTTTGCGTTTTAATAATTATGTTGAATTGAGAGATCTCTGAGTAGAAGTTTATCGTTTACAGCGTTTTCTGACTTGACATTAGTACAAGAAATCTGGCATTATAAGAAAAATGTGGCTGTCTTAAATTTTTATCTAAAAAAAAAAAAAAAAATGTGAGTTTGAAATTTCATAACTCTTCTAGAACAACAAGAAGAAAGAAACCAGTGGCATAAAAGTAATGGGAGATGAAATTTGACGTAAAATTTCCATTTTAACCAAGCACCGAGTACCAACTAAGCAGCTGCTGAGAATAAAATGTACGATAGCTAGGAATTTTCTGTGAAGTTGCAATATAAATTGAAATCAATTTCTTTTAGAAAGTCCTCTTCAAACAGCTCCATCACTGCCCAATGGTAAGACCAATAAATGCTGGTAGTTCGACCTGGGTGATTCCAGGTGAAAGGGCTGGCTTCATTATTGGTTTTCGTAGTTTTTCCACCTTGAACTTGAATACAAGCCGATTTCCTTTGGCAAATCATCCACGAAGTTATCCATCCCCCTTTGCAGTTAGTCCACTAACTATTCCATTAACCTAAATTAATCTTCTTAACTCAGAATCATGAAACAGCTTTATGCGAGTCGACCACTGTTAAAGTACATAAAGTTGCCCTCGTTTTTATAAGAATCATTTTTTAACTTGAAGAAAGCAGATATCTCCTTGAGCTTTTCCATCTTTTAACAACCAACGATTTTAGTTCTTGAAACATATTCACTGCAATATAAGAAATCCCTTGCAACTTATCCTTTGCAATATGTTGTACTTAACGAAGTATTTTCTGATTTATGCACATCTTCAAGTAATTGAAGATGTGTATAAATAGTTATAACCATAAATATTAAATGGATGCTTTATAAGCTTTTTACAAAGAGTTAAAACTATTAAAATGCTTATATTTGCCATTCCACCTGTTGACCTGTACTGTTTGAACCAACGAAAATACTATCTAATAGTATATAAATCAAAACGTAATCTTTATTTCTAAAATAAAGGCATTTAAGATTGTGACAAGATGTTTGACCCTGTGTTAAAACTTAATTTTAAACTCAGGTATCAAACTATGATTTGTCTAACGTACGACTTATTAAGGAGATCCAAGTATAAACTGTAATGAGAAAGGCTGTGGCTCTTGCAATAACATTAAATTAAATTCAAAATGAGCTCTCATAAAGCGAAAGATTCAAAAGCAATGAAAATGCTAATTATTAATATTAAATTTCTTAACTGAAGCAAATTCTTAATCATTATCTAACAGCAATTAACAGAATAATAATAACTGAGTTTTAATAAATGTTTTCAAACATTCACTAAAATTTACCCTGCTTTTCACTAGCTTTCTTATAACTCACTTTAGATTCAGTGAGTAATTTTAGAGAAATATTTCTAAGTATATGCATGTTCTTTATTTTCAAGCATTTGAAATAATGATTGGCCAGCAGAAATAATCTGAGAAAGAGATTAGTAATAATTTATTACCAGTTTCTTCTTCTATATTCTACACTTCACGCATGCGCATTTCGTCCGTTCGATGTTCTAGTTTAAAAGCAAACCTGCATTACGTAATCCTATTTAATTATTTAAAATTACTTGGTTTTGTTTTGTTTATTTGATTATGGCAAAGTACGAGAGGGCTATCTGCCTAAAGAGGAGGAATGCCTTTGTGGAAATCTTTCTAAGGTAAACTGGCTCGTATGCACGTTACACATAGAAAGAAACCTATAAAACGGTCATGCAGCTAGCCCGTTAGTCGGGATCCGAACCTCGAAACGAACTACTAGTGTTCAGCGACGTTACAGTTGGGCCTTTAAAATTAATTGGAATATAGAATACACAGTTTGTAAGTTTCTCATATTTAACAAATATGTATAGCATATTTTTCTCTCTCAGATGCTTTCGCTGTACTTGATAAAAATATAAACGGTAACATATCTCGTATGAAATGCAATATTCCGTTGTAAACTGTGTTGAATTGATTTAAGATTAAACTGCAGCTTAATTTCCATTAACTTTAAGGGCCTTAATGCTCAGAATTTTTGTCAAAAATTAATGGAAACAAAATGTTTTTAATGACAAAATTTTATTATCCTGAATTTGTTATTTGTACCTATGAAGGTGCATTAATTTATATGAAAACATCTCATTCTCGCGTAAGTGCTCTCGCGGTATAAGTGATTAGCATGTCCAGCTAGAAAACTCAAAGATCCGTGCTTTGAATCTTGGTGAGTTTTCATGTCCCATGCTTTGAAAAATCATGTATTCTCTACATATAGTCATATATTTAAATAAGGAAACACGAATTCGCTTTTGTCAATGTTACGCATTGTTTGTATTTCTAAAAACTTAGCCATTGTTTTTCACCATTAAAATATATATATTTTTAAGCATATATATTTTAATGGAATGTTGCAAACAATTAATTATTTTTAATAATAAAGACTCTCTCTTCCTCATATCGAAGGAAAATTACCCATTAATACGCCTGATCTTGTGAAATACTAAAATGCTTTTTTATATTTGACTTTTTAACATCAAAAATAAAAAACAATTTTAACATATATCCTACATAAAGATCTTCTCACAATCTAGGAAAAGTAAAAATTATTTAATTAATAGCTAATTAATCAAACAATATATATTATTAATCAATCCTTCAAGATCTGTAAAAAATATTCAACAGGAAAATATTATAAAATAAATGAAAGAATCTAAGTTGAAATGGCAAGGCGGAAAATGATGTGCAACTAATTGGCCACAAACAGCGATTTTATTAGCGTTTGTTGCATAATATTTGGATGAGGCAATCAATCGATGCAAATATGATTAAGTCATTGACCTTGCTTCTGGCAGTATGTATCATATTTCTTCTCCTCCTCTCACGTTTTTACATTCTACAGCTCAGAAATATAAAGAACACGGAAAAGAGAAGACATACAGAACACTCATGTTGCACAAAGCATAAAAAACAGGGATTTTTTTTTCTTAATACTTTTTCAGTATCTTACATATGCAGCCTTTCATGAGTCGAAATACATGCATCTAAATTAAGAATAAGTGAGAAAACATGTTAATTTACCTATAAAATTGGAAACATGGCTACCCACAAGTCCTATCGGGCTAAACTAAATTTAAAAAATACATGTATCATAAGCAGTTGTTCTACATATTAACTATTCTTTCCAGAAAGTGTATTCTAACTTAAGAGATCATATTTCTTGAAAGATTTTCTGATAAAATGGTCATATTATTGAAAACCTGTGTTGTAGTCATACATTTAGAATAAAGGGACATTGTTAACAATTTACTGACTCCGAAACTCAATGGACCGCCAGATGTTGAACTGTTTGCGTGAATAACTGTAAAAAGTACTGGATTTGATAGATAAACTTGCGATTCACATTGGTGGCAATAGCTAATAGAAGGTATAATAACACAGCTATCAGATTCTATATTGTAACGGAGGAGAAATTTACGTCCACAGGATGTGACGACAATTATATTAGACAGTGCAAGAGTGCTTTAGCAACGAAACGATGCATCATCGAAATTTCTGTCTCAGTCAAAACAGATTAATATTTAGAAGTAATTTTAGTCCTTAATATCTTTTGGAAGAAACAATACAGGGCTCTGCAGTGGCCGAGTCGCAAGTCGTTGAACACTCAACCTGGGTTCAGATCCCGGAGAGCGGGCTCTATGACTGGGCGTTTGCGACGAACCAGTTTGTTTTGGAAAGTATTCCACGAAGCCATCCCTTCCCTTAAGCAGATAACCCTCACGTGCTTTCCCGTAATCAAACAAACCAAGGCACCAAACAAATACCTCATCAAATGCTAAAAACATACAGCTGTCAAATGGTACAAAATGCTCTATAATAGAATAGGTAGGAACGTATTAGAGAAAAATGTAAGCAAAAGCAAGCAAATCAGAGCAAACAAAAACATGAAAGAAAAACATAAATAAGAAAGTTTGCAGAAAATAATTGATGGCAATCATAAGATGTTTAAGGCAATCATAGTAATGAACAGTAATTATATCATCATATCACTTAATTTATCATAAGAGTTTTTGGAAAGCTAATAATGTAGTTAATGCTGTTTTCTTAAACATTTGTATTGCAGCAGTAAAAGTCAAATTATTTAATATCGCATTCTTTGCACTTAACACCACATAAAATAGAATTCAACTGCCAAATCCCAAAATATTTTTAAAAAGCATATTTTTAGTACTCCACATAGAGTGTTAGAGGTTGCCCTACATAGTTTATACTCATAATTAAAATTGAAAATATATATCCTACATTTTTTCGAATGGTAACAGCCTCGCGCTCTGGAGATAAAAATATTTTATTCCGAACAGTGATACCCCTGCTCGCTTTCAAAATTATTGATTTATGTTAATCAAAAACTCATTATTTTACAAAATATGAAATAAATAATAAGGGAAATTTGAAATTTAAAATTCGGTTGGAGGACTACATTATTCAAAATCTGATGGCTCTAGGACACATCGTTTTTTCACAATGGAAGGAACCTACATACATACATGCAGACTCTTCACTGCTTAATTTCTTTAAAAATACTAATACAATATTTAGTATTGTATTAGTATTTTCTTTAAAAAATACTAATACAATACTAAATACAATAATATATCTGGTGACAAAAATTTGAAAATTTCCACTCTGTTTATAATGAACCGACG